TTATTTGAAAAATAATCAAAGGTAAATAATTGGAACCGAATAAATAAATTAAAATTTACAATTTTCGCATAAAAAGACAACCGGAAATTAATTCTGGCCTGACTCACTTACCTGTCCCCAGCGGAGTCGCCAAGCTGTCGTAGCCGTCTTTCGGTTGGGCCCCAGAATTGGGCTTCGACTTGAATTGAATTGGGTTAGAGTCGCCACCGATCATTTTAAAGCGATATTTGGTAGATCAGATACCTTATTTCTTACCTGATCTGTGTCGTACCAAATATGTGTTGGATTCGGGAGTCGGTTACGGTCAAGGAAGGATTAGCACCCTTGAACCGCCCTTTCGGTACCAATTAATTTGTCGGTTGCCTTTATTTGCGAAAGTTAAAAATTTAAATTTAAATTTAAAAGTATTCGATTCGAATTGTTTACCTTCGATTGCTTGGAAATCTAAAAAAACGAAAATGTTAAAAATAATAATAACAAAAAATGAAAATTAAATACATCCAAAAAAGAATATAATAATACTAATAATAATAGTGAGTAAATAAATAAGATACCAAGATAATATTGTAAATAAAAAATAAAATAATAATAATAAAATAACTAAATAGAGATAAAATGATGATGAAAATACGATAAAACAAACTAAAGTGAAATTGAAATAAAACATTAATTATTGTAAAACGGAAAGAAAAAAAACTACCCAAAAAGTATATACGTATGTATAGGTAAATGAATAAATAAATAAATAAATAAATAAATAAAAGGGACCAAAATGAAAAAAATAATAAATCCGAAATCCAAATTAAAACATTAAATTCAATGGCCAAAATGAAGAAGATACAGCTTACAGGGACCGCGGCTGTAGTTTACCCGCATGTAAAATACGCAAATACCCCCAATTGAAACTACGTCATTTCACCAGCTGTATAAAAGACCCATATGAGAGGGAGATAACGCCCAACCCTCTCATTTTTCCTTTCTCACTCTCTCTCTACTAAAGAGAGAAAAGTTTTCTCTCTGGCTTCTCTCTAAAGCCTAACTACCGGCCACCGCTCCGTTGCCCTTCCGTCGCGCCGGCCACCATGCCGGCCACCACCGGTGGTGGCCGAAAAAACCACTTAGCCCGAAACACTCGTCTTGTCACTCTAAACCCCGATCTGAAGCCCGTTTCCCCTAAAGGGACCCCAAACAGCATAGATCTACGCCTAAAGTTCGGGTCTTTTACCTTAAAACCGACGCCCTTTGGTTTTCCGATAGCTTCTCCGATGCCTTTGGTTGGTACTTCGGTTTTTTGTATTTGGTTGTGTTCGACCTTTGTTGTTGGTCGATTTGTTTACTGTTTTTGTGGGTTCTCGGTTATTGGTATTTTGGTGGTTTTTGTGTTGATGGTCTTTGTGATGTTATGGGTTCTTGGTTTCCCGTGGCCGATGTTCTCTCGGTTCTGTGATTCTCGATGGTTGGTTTGTGATGGCTCTGTGTGTGGTGTTCTCGATGGGTTATCTCTGTTCTGTGGTTGATGGTACGGTGGGTTTGAGCCCTCGGCTTACTGTGATGGTTCCTCCCCTCTGATTTACTGGCCCCGAGGCTTTTATAGCTCGGTTCTGGCCGTTTTTGGTCCCGACGATCCCGGGATCGTGGTTGCTGGTTGGCCGAGATTTTTGTGCACGTTATACCGGCTGCCTCGGGATGGTTCATTCCCGTTGGTGCTGCTGGAAAATACGCTGGCCGTTGGTTGCGTTGATCTCTCGATGATGTTTGAGATTGCTTCTGCCCGTTGGATTGGGTCAGATCTAACAGTCCAGATCTGGCTGGACAGATGATATCTTAGGGTTTGCAATCCCTGATCTCTAAATACGGTACTATAACTTTAGGGTTTCCAGACCCTAAACATTACCGGCTGGATCAGGCCTAGTTCTCGGGCTTGTTTGGACCAGATTTGGACTACTGGACAGTTGACCCATTTGGACCTGGAAAAAAAATTAAAATAAAATAAGAAATAAAATATTAATAATAATAGTGATAATAAATAATAATAATAATAATAATAAATATAAAAACTATATAATATATATTTTAAAACCGTTTCTTTTAAAAACTATATATTATATATAAATTTCCAAAAATATTTTTAAAAAATATATAATTTTCAAAAATATTTTTTTAAAACCATATAATTTTCAAAAATATTTTAAAAATTATATATTATATATTTTCAAAATGTTTTTCAAAAAATTATATATTATATATTTATTTTCAAAATGTTTAAAAAAAACTATATAATATATATATATATTTTCAAAAATGTTTTGAAAACTATATATTATATTTTTTTGTAAAAACGTTTTAAACAAATTATATAATATATAAATGTTTTCAAAATGTTTTAAAAACTATATATTATATATTTTCAAAATATTTTCGAAAATATATAAATAAATAAATAATAAAAAGATATAAACGAAAATGAGTGTCTACACATATAAAATGAGAAGTTCATCCCTACATAAAGGTTTTATGTCTTTCCATACATTGAAACAAATGCATGCTTAATGCACATGTGAAATAGAAATCTGAGGCTTCCAATGCCGAAGCATCTACTGAATCATCTCACTTCTTAACGACTTGATTATATTACCCTTGAATATGTTGAAACAACTAGACCATGTACAATCTCATATCACATTGCAAGCATATGGAAGTTCCATCTTTTTCACATTAAAGCTACCAAATTTAGGTATGCAACACGGGTCAATCTGAATTAATTAGGGCGAAGTCTTGAAACTAAGAGGGAAACAAAAAAAAGAAACTATATGTGCACCATTTCAATGTACATGAGTATGACAAACTTGTACAGGAACTCGATAATTCAACATCTCCATAATTTAAAAAAGACACCTACATATTACTAGGTGTCTGAAATCAAATTAAATAAAATTAAACTTAGAATTTGAGAACTATTGTTTCAATTTTATTTTTAAATAAATAGAGTTTTTAAATTGAAATATTTGAGACTTAATTTTTTTAATTTATAAAAAAATAATTTGCGCAAAAAAAAAGTTCCTGTTGGCCACTTTTAAGTCAAGTAGCTTCCATGTTATCTCTACACTTAATAAGCATGGTGTGGATTTATTTTGGTCAAATTCAATGGTTAGTACCTGAACAAATTTTGAATTTATATGTAATTTAAGTTGGTCGATTTTAGTTTTTATACTTTTTTTAAGTTTACAATTTTACTCTTGAGACAAATAATATAATTTAATTATATGGTATAAAAATATCAAATTGGATAGCTTGAAATAAATCCACAACTAATGTATAATAGAGAGACTAATAATAGAATTTAATTTAATAGATTTCACAACTGTTGTTTAGATTAACATTAACATTTTTAAATCTAAAATACAAAACTAAAAACTGATTAACTCGACCATTTTCTCTCTAATAATTAGATAACGTGACTTTTTTATTAATATATGATGATTATATATATTTTTATTAATATTTAATTATGATATGTAATATTTAAAATAAAAAAATCTTAAATTATACACTAACTTTAATCCTAAATTACAACCCCACCCTCATCCTTCCTCTCCCTCTCCACCGTCTTTCCCTCCCATTGTAATTCTAGATCCATTGAAGGTTGAAGGTGAATTTCATCTCCATCTTTAAACGCTAATCCCAATTCAAAGAAAAAACACCAAGAAGAAGAAGCTAAACCGTTATAGCACAATGCAAAAACACATGCACTTTACCTTCAAAGATCAAAGCTTCATCAATGACTTTACCTTTCAAGTGAAGCTAAAATGGGAAATAATCGAGTTGACTCAATTTTTACAGTATTTTCTTAAATGAGTTTTTGAGTTGAGAGTATTTTACGGGTCTACAAAATGGAAATAACCAAAAAAAAATCCTATTGAGATAATATGAAAGTGCAAAAAAAATATATTTTAAAATAATTAATCTTTCATTTTAAAGTATAGCATATGACCTAATTTTTTGAGGTTGTTCAATTTGGGGCAACGGTCACTCGATGGTTTATTGAATTTGAGTTTATTTGGGATTGACGAACTATTTGATTCATGAAGTTTAAGTGATTTTTAGGTTAAATGAACATCAAATTTGTGTTCAAGATGACGAAACCAGATAGGTGAAAAAATTTGGGACTTATTGACGACTATCAATGACGACAGGCGATGACCGACGCAGTGGTCGACACGAATGGTGGTCCGAATTCTAACAGATTGAAAGAGAATGGAAGGAATAAAAATAAGGAAAAAAGGAAAATGAAGAAAATTTTAGATTTTATATAAATGCAAAACGACGTCGTTTTAATAAAAAATTAGATTTGGTAAAAAATTAGATTTTTAGAAACGAAATCGTTTGATGTCATGTCATAACGTTGTTAATTATTTAATAACGGAGTGATCAAAACAGGAGCAATGTTAATGTTCAATCAGTAAATTGAAAAAATTAAAAGTACAGCTAATAAAATAGGAAAAAGTGTAAAGTTCAATGATTGGTGTAATTTACCCTAATAAAATTTCAGGAAAAACTACAATTTCTTAGGTAGAAATCAGTGAACTCAAAAGGAAGCATTTAAGGAAAACACATGCCGCAACTTCAGCAAGTATGCTTGTACTTGTCGATGATGCTGTCAACCTGAAGAGAATCTGAAGGTCAAACTTAACCATAGAGGAACTGTATTCCAGTTCAGGTTTGAAGAATATTATTTATACCTCCACATAGCAGAGAATTCATAAACCTTCTTTTACAAGCTCTGCAATACTCATAAGCATCCAAATCAACAAACAGGGAAAAGCGAGGAGCTCATGGTAGAACTTCATTATACCAATGCCTCCGATTTTTATTTTCTTTCTCAAAATACTAATGTTCATTAAACGGAACACACATTCAATACATATTCGAGTTCACGATCATGATAATGGTATTTGAATTCCAATGAACTAGCATATTACAACAAAAGAAAAAAACAGTAACGTAAAACAAGTTTTATTTCAATTTGAATCTGTCTTCTAATCGTACAAACAGCATAACTTAAGGAAAATTTATGAATGAGATCAAAAGAACAACTCCGAAAATTGTTTCATACTGCACTAGCGGCAAGAATCAGAGGCAAAACGACCAAGAGAAGCCAACCAATGACGACCCAAGTCTCAGAACCTTGCACCCTATTCTGCACGGGATTGACCAGCCCGGGAAGAGAGGATGATACCAACAATGAGTCCATACAATGCCAACGCCTCAGCAAAAATGAGAATAAGAATCATTCCAACAAAAAGCTTTGGCTGTTGTGCATTGGCTCTGCAAATAAATGCAGACAAAAACTGATTCAAACGAGCCACATTCCAGAAATTGCAATCAATCTAGAAAACGAAAGATAAAGCCAAATATTTTGCAATGAAAGTGACGAACTTAAATGTACAAGTAACCAAAAGAAAAGAACAATGATTATTAACACTGTAAATTGAATGCAATTTATATCCACACAATAAATCTGCAGTAATCAGCAACAATGGCAAACTTCTCTGCCAGGACCAGAAAGAACCTTCTAAGAGTTAATTTAATCAAATTGAACGATATTTTGTTTAGCAAGTAAAATTCCAACAAATACGGATTAAATTTCACTCAACCAGAACCTTCATCAAAACTTGCAAGCGAAAAGCCAGCCACATGCTCGCAGATATCACGGCAGAAATACTAACGTACTTCAATCAGTTATCAGCAAAAGACTAAAACCAAATTCCCTTGAAGAATATAGAAGACTAATTTTCTCTAAAATCCCCAATGTTAATTTACCTTAACTATTGTTATCAGCTGAAAAAATCTACACATCGCAACAACAGAGAACGAAATCTGAATCCAAATAAAATAACAATACCTAACTCCAGCGTCACCGACGATTCCAATAGCCATACCGGCAGAGAGACCGGCGAGACCACAAGCAAGACCAGAGGAAAGATGGGCATAGCCATCGAAAAGGTAGTAAGATTTGGCCTTTGGGTTAATCCCAGTGCTAATAATAACCGCGATAATCAACCCATAAATACCTAAAACTCCAGCCATAACAACGGGAACGATCGATTTCATCACCAACTCCGGCCTCATCACTCCCATCGACGCCACTCCGACGCCGCTCTTCGCCGTCCCGTACGCAGCACCCATACCTGAAAACAAAACCACCCAATCGAACAGCGAAATTAGCGCCAATAAAAAAAATCGATTCTGTTGGGGGAGTTAGGGTTAACATTTTACAGGAGAAAACAAGGGCAGCAGCGGCTCCGAGGAAGCCGAAGAAAGGAGCCGTTTCATCGCCGCTAAATGTTGAAGCCATGTTTGTATGTTTTTAAAAAAAATGTTCAAAGACGATTTGAAGAGATTTGAGAAACTTTTGTTCGCTGGCTTTCTCGAGTGATCAAAGGAAGAGAAGAGAAGAGAAGAGAGTAGAGGATTAACGAAGAAGGTACTTGGAAATTTCTAAGTGGATCCCGCGTGAACATGGGTGAGCCATCGCCATACAATTGGCAATTTGGCGTGATGTTAAACGTGTCCTGGCTGGGACCTCATTAGGGACAATTCTCCTTGGAAGAAATGGGTAAATTTTCTTTGAAAAAAGAATCATTTTCTCCTCCTCCTGTAGTACCTTTGCTTACATAAATATAAGTGGACATTTAATCAAAAACAACCTAATTAGTTTTTTTGAGGGACTGCCAACTTTGAACATTAATTTTGCACAAATCAATACAATTAAAATTTTGTCAAAAACTCAAATTACTATAGATTTATATATCACCGGTTTGAGTTCGAAAAAATTATATACACTAAATAGGATAAAAAAATTGATTTACGATAATTCGATAAATATAATGATCACTTTATAATTTTTGAAACTTTAATCACTGAAAATATCATTTTATCAACGTAACACCATCAGACTAATACGAGTGACCCGATCCGATCCGAAGTGTCACATTAGGGCTATCGAAGCGACCCACGGTAAAAATCCAGGAAAAATTAAATTTTTTGCTAAAACATGTAAACTCATAAAACAATTTATAAATAAAATACAAGTTCCACACTCGGTATAAAAATCAAATGTGACACACATGCCCCTAATTATATAAGTATCATACTCACCAACAACGTCGAAGGAACTCCCAATGTTGATGTCGATAATTGTACATGATCTACTCATTAACCTGAAATTGTAAGTAAAAGAGTGAACTTTGGGAAACTCGGTAATAAAGAACTACCAAATGATGCTAAAGGACATGCAGATAAATGACAAGCATAAAAATTTTCTCATTGATTCGAGCATCTTCAGGTTTTTGTGACGAGTTAAGGTTCCACTGATATTTCTTTAGGTAATATACAAATAGCTTATAGCTCAGAGGAAATATTCAAAAGACCAATTTCAGAGATTAAAACAGGCGTCTACTGTGTTCATTCAAAATCATAATAAAATGTAATCATAGTTTAAAATCAGCTGTAGTTATTTTAGTAAAACAAGTTTTTTTTAAATCATTGTAGTACCCTCTGTAACACCCCAAATTTTATCTAGTGACTAAAATGTAAGTTTTGAAAGTTTGGTGGCTAAAGTGTAAACTTTGAAAGTTTAGTGACTAAAAATATAATTTTTAAAAGTTATATATATTTTATCCATGAACAGTTTAGCCTAAAATAAGGATTTTCATGGGAATCAGATTTTCAGTACGGGATTTGTGTTAAAAGTTGTAAAGCGCTAAAGTTCGGTATTAAAATCGGATAATCGGATTAAACCAGAATTTCATGAAAATTTGAAGGGTGTTAGAAAATGGTTGGAAAATTTTAAGGATGTTATAAAAATTGGATAGTCAGATAAATTTGGCTCAAAATAGTGTAATTTTTCATATTTAACTGAACAATGGAATTTTAGTTACTAAAATGCAATCTTCCAAAATTGCATGGCCAAATTAGAAAGTCAAAGCCAAGTTGATTTATTTTTGACCAAGGAATATTTTAATGGAAGATAATATAATATTATTTGGTAATTTTCAAGATTCATTAATGGTATTTTTGTAATTTCTGATTAATTAAATTTTAAATTCAATTAAATTAGATAAAGGACACATGTATTATTCATTAAATACTAGAATAATCAAGACAATTAGCATATTTTCATGTACATTTTTGCTCTTGGCGGAAACTACAAGCTCTCCTAAGGTAAGAATTTTATTTTTATTTTTATTTTTATTTTTTCAAGTTACATGATTAGTTTTTGTATTAAACTATTAGATAGAGAGTTAATCTACATGAAATTTTCTATCAATTAATATAAATATTGCATGGCGAGGATATTTGTGTGTTGAGATTTGGTTATTAGGGTTTAAGGATGGTTTGGTGATCTTGAAGAATTGATGAAGGATTTTTATGTTTTTTATGTTGGTGGTTATTTTTAAAGCATGTATAATGATTAAAATTAATTGTACATGTGTATAAAAGGTTTGGTCATGTTAGGGTTTTGTAAGAATGATGGGCTTTTTATTCAATTTGATGTTGTGATTATTGGAAATGCATGAATTTGATCACATGAGGTTGAATTCATGCGTGAAATTGAACAAAAAGTCCCTCTTAGGTGACATGAAGCATTCGGCCATAGGGAAGAAATTGGGGGGGTGTTGAAAATTTTCCTATGGTTTAGAAATGATATTAGAAGTATTCTATGTGAATTGGAGATTGATTTGGATCAATTTGGAACCTTGAAAGTATAAAAGGGCTAGTTTACAAGTTTTAAGAATTGGGGACATTATTGTTTAAATGTGAGTTTTTGGATGTTCAATGTTAATTTTTAATATTAAGATGTTGGAAAATTAAGATTGGAAAGTTGTTTGGAACCAAATTTTAAAATTTGCAGTGGAATTTAAAAAGTTTAAGAAAATAGGGGATTTGTTTGCAAGTTATTAAATATAAGAGTATCATTTGGGTAAATTATGGTAATGCTGGAAATCTGTATTGGTATGCTGATTTTTGAAACTTAATATTGAATTGGGGTTGAATTGCAAGTTTATTAAATTGGATGGTTAAAGTTGAAAAGTCTAAGACAGTTTAGGGTGAATTTGCAAGCTTTTGAATGGTTTTTGAAAGTGCTAGAATTTCATGTGAATAATGTGATCATAATAGTGAAGAGCTATTATGAATTTAATGGAAAATTGAGGTGAATTTTAGAAAGAATTCAAAATATGTGGTTTAAATGTGAAATTGGAATAAGTTGAGGGACTAAAAGTTGGAATAAATATTTATGGAAGTTAAAGAGTGTTTTTGAGAAGTTTGAAATTTTGGTGAAAGGATGACCTAAGTTTGTATCGATTTAGTGTCGATTTTTATTTTTTTATAGACTTTTATATTTTAAGTTTAAATTATGCTAGTATGATACTAACATATAGTTGAATATTTTATATTATTATGTTATGTTGTCGGACTATGATAAACCTAGCGATCCAAACGACCCGAAAGGAAAGGAAAAAGTACATGAATAAAGAATTAACATATAAAGGTTCGGTAGTGAGGCAAAGGTGAGTGTAATTTATTTATTTAATTATTTTGATTGGTAGTGAGGCAAAGGTAAGTACAGTTTATTTAAGTCAACCTCACATTATTTATTTCAAAGATATGAATTATGTTTTGATTATGGAATTATATTTCTAATATATTTAATAAGTTTTATGAATGATTTTGGATATGAACTGCTCATGTTATGTCTTATGAATATGATTTGAATATAATTCTGATATGATTTTTATCAAATGATTATGAATTGAACTGAAAGTACATTGTATGTTGTATTGAGAGTCAAAGGTACAATTGACATGCCATGAAGTAGAGTGATTATGTACTAATTATGATATATTGAGATGTACTGGTGGGTACACTAGTATATATATATATATATATATGTATATCAATGTGATTGCACTTTGTGTGCATATTGTGATTTCCGATGTGATAGCACTATGTGTGCTTATATGTTCCGATTTCTGATGATGGCTCTCAGATGTTTATTTTGCACACCCGCCTGACTCATTTACCTTATATTCTCTTAAACATACTTTGGACTATAAAAATTAAATATAAAAGTTCTGAAAAGTGTCTAACTGAAAAGGGATGTTGACTGATTATTCTAACTTATATGACTTATTATGATTTTTAAAAAATCATAAGATGAGTCTTTTCAGGTTTTTGATAAAGATACAAATATCTGGTTTGAACTTTCCGAAAGTTTTATATGTGTTATTTTAAATGTTTTTATATTTTCTCACATTTATTATTACTGCTATAGACACCCGTTTTTGTCCGGGTCGGAAAAATATTATTAAATATTATTATTATTATTATTATTATTATTATTATTATTATTATTATTATTATTATTATTATTATTACCTAACCTAATTCTCCATTCCCCATTAAATAAAAACCCGCTCAACCTTCCACCATTCCATGTTTTATTCCATATTTTATTCTTCTACTCATAACAATTATTTTCTTATGATATATATATATATATATATATATATTATTATTACCTAACCTAATTCTCCATTCCCCATTAAATAAAAACCCGCTCAACCTTCCACCATTCCATGTTTTATTCCATATTTTATTCTTCTACTCATAACAATTATTTTCTTATGATATATATATATATATATATATATATATATATATATATATATGTAATATGCTATAGAAAGAAAGAGGAGAGACCAGGGAGAAAAAAAAACATGGGAAGCCATACGGGAGAGGAAAAAAAGCTTATGTGATTGTGCTGGATTTTTCACCAGTGATCAGGGTCTTTGATCAACGTTCTGAAAGGTAAAAAGTTGCGCAGGGCCAACACGAACAACATACTGAAAAATCAGGACGATCGGACGGTGGACGGCGGCGGATCAGAGAAAATAAATCCTAACGGTTTTTGGCCTCTTTATAGTGATGGGATCTCCGATCAATGTTTCGAACGGTGAAAAGTTGCGCATGGCCAACAGGAACAGCATACTAAAAAATCAGGACAATCAGACGGTGGACAAAGACGGATAAGAGAAACTTAATCCGAATAGTTTTTTGTCTTTTTACGACAAACAGAGCCGATTTATGCAAAACCGACTTTAGATCCAAGATGAGGAGGCCAAAACGACTTCCCGGTGAAATTTGGTAACCATTGGCCACCAATGATAGCGGCAGCGGTGGCAGCACGGTGGTGAGGCGACGGTGGCCGGCAACTCATTTATGTTATGTATTTTTTGTATAATTTCTGTTTAGTCCCTAAACTTTTATGCATGTTTTTCATTCAAGCTCATGAATCTTTGTGTTTTTTCTGATTTTAACACTTTAGTTTCCGTTATTTTATTTTAGTCACTGAAATTTTTGTTTTTGCTATTTATGTCCTTTAAATTTCTGTTT